CACACACACACACACACACACACACACATGTAGGCCAACCGTGGCCTTGTTCCAAATTTCGTTTAAGAGTGATTTTCTATCAACAATGTGGTAGTGCGCATCTACGAAATTAATTACATATTTGGTTTAGTTAGTAATTTATATTCATATTTGTGAGTGAGTGTGTTGATGTTCATGGTATTGTATGTGTGTCTGCGCGTGTGCGTGCGCTGATAAATACGTACAAAATCCATTTCATTTCTGCTTTCATTTATTTTTAATCAGTCTGTTTGTATGTCGGCCTGTCCATCGGTCTCTAGTTCTAGTTGTTTATCTATATGTATCTAGTAATCTACCATTTGAATCTGTCGGCGAATATTTGTATTTCGACGGTATTCATTTTTTTCCATGTCTGTTTGCTTCTAAACTCTTTTCTGAAAGAAACCCAAACAAACTTTTGTTCCCAAAGTAAAGTGGAAAAACCTTCTTTCTTTTTTTTACGAAACTCACATTGAAGTCGTCAGAATCAAACAAAAATACGAGACTGAGAAAAGCGGATAAAAAGGACTATTAAATTAAATTAAAAAACTCTTTTATGTACATTTTTTTTAATTGGTGATTTTCTTTAGTGGAGATGCGATCAGTACGATGTTGTATAATAATGAAGATTAGTCGCTTTTTCACAAATGTACACGAATGTTTCCAAGTCTAAATTTGTGACGTCTATAAATTTTTAGAAGATTGAATGCTGTCATCTGGCTATTTTGTGAAGTTGCTATGTGGGGATGACATGTAAGCAGGTAGGGGATAGTGTAGTTTGATGAAAAATACAAAAAAAAAAATGGCAAGACTTAACATTTAACAACAAATAAAAAAAATGAAACTCATAAAAAAACGATATTTTCAGACTAATTTCAACCTGATGACAACATAATCCCGAATGTTTTGATGATGATGATGATGGTGATGATGATGACATACTAAAATTTAAGATGATGTTTAGTAAGTTGACGATTGTGATGATTAACTTGAAACTAAAGGTACATTCAGAAAAAAAAAAAAATTACCTTTGAAATAAAACAAACAAAAAATTAAATTAAACACTTCGTTACCAAAATAATATATAAATAAAAGATGACGATATTTGGTGGCACACTCAAATTTCAGTGAGAAGCGTGCCAAACTTCAATCCAGTTTTGCTCACACTTCCTTTTCTGTGACACTCGACGTTCTTTTGCTTCCAAAACGAAGAGAAAGTTGTTTTAATAATAATAATAATAATAATAATAATAATAATAATTGGACTACATGAATAAAAATGGAGAGAAGGTTCGTGAGGCAGAGAAAAAGAAAGAGGAGTGAGTGAATGAAAAAAAAAGAAAGAAATGGTTTGTTTATGTTTTCATTTGGCCAATGTGGACAAAGCAGTAGGCGTGGCTTGTATGCATGCGGTTTAGCCCCTCCCACGGCTGCAGATTCAGCCAACGAGAAATGAGCGGAAATTGACAGCCGGTATCATTTACTGATGGCGATTTTAAAACTCGTCTGAAAACGAAGGCTAAGCCAGTAGTCACGGACTCATGTCGAGTAGCAAACACGAATGAGAGCCAACGCAGCACGAAAACCTTCGCAAGAAGGCTTGCGTTAAAACTCTGGACTGATACTGTACAAAGGAAAAGTAAAACGGAAAAAAGATAAATATATATATATGTATATATATATATATATATATACATGCATATATATATATACATACATATATATATATATATATCGAACGGCTACAAAATCTCAGGAATCAAGCAAAAACATTTTAAAACAATCTCATATCTACAGTTAATACAATTTGTGATAGATAAATATATACACACAACACACACACACACATATATATATATATATATATATATATATATATATATATATATATATATATATATAGCTCTGCGCACAAGAGAGATAGAAAGAGAATATAGCTACAGAAATAACATATTTATATATATATATATATATATATATATACTGTATATATATAAATATATATATAATCTTATTTCTGTCTCAGCGCATAATCTCATTGACAATTTTTATATAAATTCCTTCGCATTTTTTTCAATGTACACAAGTTTAATGTGTCTGTACTTTCTTTAGTAACTGTACAAGGAAAGTTGTTTTTTCGTCTAACAAAAACTTAAGGAACGAAAAAAAAAAAAAAAGAAGTAACATCAGCCCTGCCTACCTGTCTCCCAACCAAAGCATGGATTTATCTTAAACTGGTGGAGAAAAAGGATTTTTAAAATGTGTTTAAATTATGTGAAAACTTGAAAAAGACATGAAAAAACCATTCACTTGAGAAAGGTTGACATCGCGGCGGATCTACTGTTTCAAACGAAGGATACCTTACATTCGCATCCGCAGTTTGTCACTGAAAGTGATCATACACCTACACACGCATAAACACAAGCACAAGTTCTCGTTACCTTTCATAAAACAATGTTATACCACACATACAGATATACACATACATACGCACAATTTTGATATATATATATAAATATTGGACAGATACATTTTTCCTAAAGTTAAAAATAGAAAAAAAAAACTACTCGTGAAAGAGTTTACGTCCCTATGTATATAAACGCACGCATGTGTGTATGTCGCTGTGCCTATGCGTTTAATTACGTACCTTAAAGTAAATCTGAATTCGCCGTGAGTGCGTGAAAAGAAGAGAAAGACAAACATCTAGAGCGTGTACGTACCCATACGTACGTATTTGCTCGTGCACACGTGTGTGTGTGTGTGTATATATATATGTCTATATATATATATAAATTTAGATTTATATATATACATATATATATATATACATATATACACATCTTTCAACTAAGGATATATATTCGTAGAGTTATTATTTATTTTTATATGCTTATATTGGGACAAAAGGAAACTGATAGATTTACCCCTTTCGATAAGCGACAACAGCTAAAAAAAGTTGGGAAGTAAAAGCACGCTACTTAACCCGAGAGAGAGAGAGAGAGAAGTCGGATTTAGGGGTAAGGCAGACTGTGACACTTATACGAAATATCCTCGCACCAGACGGGAAGCACTGTTACATTTATTGCAGTGCTGTCGTTTACTAAGTAGGAGCGTGCCTGACTAAAGCCTTACATTCCACTAACTGATACATCTCGTATGTACCCACGCGGGGCTCACAAAAAAACAGTGGATTTACAACACTTAACATTAATTCGGAAACTTTTACCCTTTTAAAGAAGAAAAGAAAAAAATCAACACCTATTCTGCACGCAAAATAAGGAGGGCTTTATACAAAAAAACATTTGGTATATTTCTAATTCTTTTTTCTTCAACAAAAATATTTTATTTTAAACTTTTTCTTTAAAAAGTGTGTCTAAAACATTATAAAAATCTTAACGATTACTGCCACTTTATTTTAAATATTAAAAATAAAACAACAACAACGTAAGTGTCTATTATATTTATATACAGATTCTAACATTAATTTTTATTCGTCCGATCAAAGCACGGCGTGGACATTCATAAAGCCAAAATAATAGCAAGATTCTATATTATGGATTATTTTAAATTAGCTTTTTAACTCCAAAATACGCGGAAGAAAGAGAGAGTTGATGTTTTTAAAAGAGAAATCAATGTGTTTTTATATCATTGTCGTATGATTATTTACATCACGAACTAGGACTGTCTTCCTCCCACCGCAAGTCACGTGAAAATCAAGTACCCTTTTCCACCTCATTACTACCAACGGTTTTCGGTTAACTAACTAAACTTTCAAATCCGTTAGTCACTTAAAGTACGATAAACCATGGTTCCTCAAAATACCTCCATTATAACAAGCGCGGGTGCAACTGTGGCCGCGTCATTACTTTTTGGTTCGCAACTCGTAGACCCGAGTTCGCATACGCCTTACACCGACGCCACAAACTGCAAGAAATCATCGAACCACGTCAAAAGGCCGATGAATGCCTTCATGGTCTGGTCACAGATCGAACGGCGAAAGATTTCAGAAGTGCAGCCTGATATGCACAATGCCGAAATTAGCAAACGGTTAGGTCGTGAGTGGAAATTACTGAATGAAATCGACCGCAAACCTTTCGTTGACGAAGCCGAGCGTCTTCGGCTACTACACATGCAGGAATACCCGGATTATAAATACCGACCACGAAAGAAGGCTAAAGCCGGCGGCGGGAAAAGCGATGGCACCAGCAGTGGAGGAGCAGGTGTCAAAGCATCGAAGATTTCATGTAAAAGTCAAAAAGGAGAAAAAGCAAAACAAAAATTAGGCGGAACCGCAAACAATGGCATCGTCAAATCTTCTACACTAAACACGAACTCTGTCAATACAGCCAATAGGCTGAAATTAAAACTGACCATTGATAAAAAATTTAAAGAGAGTATCAAGGCTAGTAAGAGTGTGGCCGTACCCGCCAGCCAACTGACCCCACCGGCTAAGGTTCCGTCCAGTCCTTCCATTTATACACCTTCAACACCAGAGACGGTGAGTTTCTACCCAGAGGAGGTTTTCGAAACTCCAGCCGCTTCTCCACAAGAACAGACCACGTATAAAGTGATTCAGGGTTTACCTGTCGGTGGGGCCGGCGCTGGTATCGTCGGGGCCTCGAATATAGTCGGCGGTATCACAGTCGGCTCTGGTGCCAGCAGTTTGGTCGGAATTAGTGCAGTTGAAGGTAAAGTTTTCCATCAGCAAATTACCTTACCGCTGACCACAGCTGGCACGACGACGACGACGACGACAACGACGCAGTTGACTACGAATCACCCTGTAGTTGTAGCTGACCATCAGGTAGACAATGCACCTCTGGCCGATTTGGATAACCTGACCGATGTGCTGCAACTGCCCAGCAACTGGCAGCTGGAGTTAGGTAACCTCGATCTAAGCAAACTGGCTGACGCTGACTTCAATTTGGACGTTCAGAGTCAGGTCAACTCCAATGGCTCGCATTTCGAGTTTCCCGACTATTCAACACCGGAAGTAACAGAAATGATTGAATCGGACTGGCTGGAGACAGGCATCACACCTCTTATTTGTTAAAATCAAGAGAAACAGACACACACATAGACACACACAGAAAATACGGAGATTTTCTTTCAGAGATGAACATAAACAGTCATGTAAGAATGCCTGTGTAAGTTCTTTCTTTTATCGAAACAAAAATAACCTATTATAAACTAAACATGCTGATATATGCTGCGAGTGGGAAACATTTACATTTTCATACTTATTATAACTATCATTTATTTTTATCTTGCGTTTCTAGATCTGTAGGCAAATTTAAAACACACACACACACACACACACACACACACACACACACGCTCACAAGTGAGACCAGCAGTAGTGTGTGTGTGTGTGTGTGTGTGTGTATGCTTACATTGCCCCAAAGGTGTATTAGTGAGTTATTTTTCTTCTGAATTTAAAAAAAATGTTTTGATATCTGGGTGGGTGACGCGATGTGCAACATAAATAATAAAATAAATAAATACATATTTTTATGTGCTTGCCTAGACATATGACCTGGACACACGATGAAAATTAATTTTTCACAAACACCGAAAAAAAGCATTGTTATTAATACCATTATTTTTATTATAAATGATAAATCTTTCACAGAGCAAGAAAAAACAAATAAACCTTATCACTGCCATGTACAGATTCATAGTCTTATCTATCTACCTGTCTATTTATTTATCTATCACTATTTATTTATTCTGAATTTTTGTTTGCTATGGGGTCGCATATTATTCCTGTTCTGTTTTTCCATCTCCCCCACCCTTGTACAATTTACTTGTAAATTATTGAAATTGTTTAAATTTAATTCAAATTCTCGAACGAAAATGCTGTGAAAATTTCGCATATGTGAAATGAAACGAATTAAACGTAACTTGGCGATTTTTTTTTCTTTTAATAATATCATTGGCTGTTACAGTCCAGTTATTTATGATTTCCTTGAAGGCTGTTCTGAGAATGTACCTCAATAAGGATCAGTTTTCGTGAGAAATTTTCTTTTAAAATCTCTGATCCTTCCTTCTCAACTCTTTGTTAATTATGATGATGACGATGATGATCTAAACCAATACACACGTTCTTCAAAAACCCTTCTCCGTCAAACTAAAAAAGAAACAAACACACCTTTGCATTCATTACCCCACCCCGCCAAAAAAACTTAATGTAATCGATGTATGTACCGGTGTGAAGGCTTGTACATACCAGTGAAATTTCTTGCATACAATACAACCAAAATATTCGTTGTAATATTGTATCTCTTATTTAACAAAAACAAATGTGGGATTACGTACATCACGTGCGCATATGTATACTTATTTGCATTTTGACAGTTAATATTTTTTTTTTAATTTTGAGTCTATTTAACTGTTCTATAGAAAACAAACAAACAAACCTTATGTCTTCCTTGAATAGTTTTCCTCGACATGCGTGTGTGATCCAGTGTGTATGGACCGATCTGATACAGTATAAAATCAAAGAATAGATAGATACATATATAGACAGGCACAAGATAGATAAGAAGTGTATTTTTTTTTAATACTTACATTTATGTACGCACACATACGAACACGATTATGTAATTCTTATCTTTTTTTACATACATATCATCTGTGGATTGATAGCAGTACTGATGGGGGGGTGTTCTCATCGTAACCACAAGTCTGTATAAGAAAACTTGAATTTTCTTTTTGTTTTCGTTTTCTCATTTAAACTTTAAGTTTAGGCACACACGCAACCATTCATTCGAGTGCATTTATTCGCCAGCCTCGTCATCTTCTTTGCAAACTAAATTCAGTTTGAAATATATTTTGTCATTGTAATCATGCGCATTTATGGTTCTTTTTTTATTTCTAATTTAGTTACTACCAAAAATGTTCGATCGTGTCATCAGGCAGCGTAACCTTAAGCAAGTTCTTGTTGGCCTATACGTAAAATTTTCACTTTGTTGGGTCCCCTTCGCAAAATTTTGGTTTAGTGAATAATAGTCTCATGGATAGTTCTAGTAACTCGTATTATGTCCGTTTTTTATTGTTGTATGCTGTTAAAGTTTACAACTTCTGCTAGTTAAAAAAATAACACATTTTTAAGATTTTCTTTTTGTTTTTTCGGGACTGATTAAAAAATAACAACAACAATAGCAACAAAAACACAACACTGGACCAAAAATTTTTCAATTCGTTTTTGTTTATGACAAATTAACTTTTTTTGTAAAGCAATTGTTTTGTATATATATTTAAAAAAATGCAAATTTAAGAGAGAGAATCGAGAAAAGGCAATTATCTTTCAGTTTTTAGGATTTTTTCTGAGAATATTTTTATTGTTGCTATTACTGTAGTTATGTTTTTAAATTTTTTTACGTATGTTTTTTAAAATTATTTTTAAATGAGAGAGTAAGGAAAACCCATACCAATGCCACTCTTCCAATTAGAATATTGATATGAAAGAACGACAAATTTTATTTGCTTGACAACCCCTCACCACAAAACTTATTCCAAGCCTTACATAAACAATGATGATATTTCGACAGAAGACTATATGTAAAATAAATAGAGAAACTATTATTAGCTGCTCGGAGAGAATCGAGCCTTTATTTTCATATTAACACTTTGTTTTTGTAAATGGAATGAATACAAAATTTGAAATTCCGAATGGAAAAAGAAACTGAAAAATAAAATACGAAACGAAGAAATGATAATAAAAACTGATTCAACTTTTTATATTAAAAAGGTAGTGGAAAAAGAATAAAAAAAAAACATGCTGAACTAAAAATGAAAAAGAAGAAAAAAATTCTCTCAAGAAAAATGAAAAACTAAAAAAAAAAAAAAAAAAGAAAAACGAGACGAAACGAATACAGAAAAGCGAACATTTCGTTTTTTACAGGATAATGAACATTATAAAAACTATCAACAGAAACGGTTTTGAAAACCGAACTATAAAAACTATGCGCAAATTGAAACTGATTCCAGCTTGTTTCATTTTTTTTTTTTTTCATTTTTTTTTTTTTTTTTCGTTTTTGGAATTTTTTTTTTTATATTATAAAGAGCAAAATATTAAAAAATATTTAAAAAAAAAAAAAAAAAAAGAAAGGGAAAGAAAAACATTTTTGTGTTTTTGCAAAATTCGTGATGTCGGTGGACCATGATGAAAAAAATAAATACACGAAGTCCGAAAGCAAATATTAAAGTAAGTTGAAGGAGAAGGAAAATCAGAAAAATAAGTTTTTTCTTTCTTTCTTTCATCTTTTTTCTTTTTTTTTTTTCTTTTTTTTTTTTTTTAGGTATATGATCTGTTAATATGTATATTTCACGGATTTCTTTTCTGATTTTGAATTCAAAATTTGTACTGTAAATTATAGTTGTATTTTATATTATGAATACTTTTGACTTTTTTTTTTCACTCTAAATCTGTATTGAACGGGTGTAAGTGTGTGTGAGTAAAAGTTAGAAAAAATGAACAGCGAATGTAGAAAAGAAAAAAATGTGAAACCGTTTTAGACAGAATAAAATTTACAGAAGCAAAAACTGGGCAGGAGTTGCTTTTTTAATACTAAAGAAAATTTATAATTAACAAAAAATCTTTAGTGGGGTTTAAATTCACTCAGTAACCAGTATCTATATTTGGGGTGTGGGTTTGAGAGGGGAAGATGTACAAATGATATTTTATTTTAGAGAGTATTATGGTCGTATAGTCAAGAAAAAATGAACGAAAGAAAATGAATGAATTTATGAAAGAAAGAATTAAATTTTGAGTATGAATGAAATAAGCAAGAAAAACCGTGTTGACAAAATAGACAAGCAGTTTAATTTATTCGTGAGAGTAATAACCCTCCCAACCCTTTAAATTAAGAAAATAATAGAACCACTTACCCTCTTTGATTAAAAACCATATTTGAATATTTGTGAGCATATTTGCACTGAATCTTATCAGTGAGAAAAAGAAAAAATGTTTAAGCTTGTTCAATTTTAAAGACTGATTACTGGGAACAGAAAAAAAAACTATATTTTTGGCTAATTACGAATTACATCGAAGACAATTGTACATAATCTGATAAAGTAAAAAATATTGCTGTCATATATACACGTGTTCTCTTATTTTTATTTTGTGTGTGTTTTGTTTTTTACATGGTCTCATATTCTGGGTAAGCAAATTAATCTTTTGTCTTTAAAAAGAATAAATAAAACGTGTAAAATATTAATTTTTGCAAAAATTGAAGATTGTGATATGAATATCTACATTCTACAATGTTGATCTTATTCTAAATTCTTTGGTAAGATTTCAATTAATTTTCTTCAGTTTTGTTTTGCAAGATCTTTTAGTGTGGACAATCGCATCATTATTATCAGGATATGAAATTAGTCAATCAAACATTTTGCACGCCAACATTGCTATATAGACAATGAATGGAAGTCAAATAAAGTCAGTTTCTTCAGACAGACGGCGACTACTACTACTAAATGATAAATAAATCCATGGACTTGTTACAAAAATGTAATGTTAAAAAAAAATGACTCCATTTTTATTTCATGCTAATCATGACATTGAATTGAAAAGTGAAATTATTTTTGTTGTGGCTTAAAAAAATTTGTTAAAATCTTTAATGAAAATGCATTATCCAAATATGAAACCAAGCATGTCAAAAATTGTTTTCTTTGTCTAACTCTAAGAAAAATTGTGCATTTTGTTTACATGACAGATCCCAAGCCGATCTTATAGTATGTCTGCTTCCTTTAAGGCATTGGAACATTAACACAACATATGGCAATTGGTATTGGTCTCTCTGTGGTCAGTCAACATGTCCAAATCTTGTAGATAATTTTTGAAAATCAGAATTCAGTTGTGAAATTGAAAGTTAGGTTCCTCGTTCTGCTAGGGATACTGATATTCCATCCACATGGATGTTATATCGGTAATAAATTATATTGTTATTTCCCCATAGTTATGAGCTAAAATTTATAG